AATTGATTGCTTCCATCAATTCTTGCCACTTTAAGTTGCGCACTTTTGAAATCTTTTTAGTTAAATTCAATCATACATTAAAAGAAAATAACCCGAATTGAACAATATAGGCAAAACTATTGACTGATTTGCATTGTATAGAAACAAGATTTTCATTTGTAAAAATGTCCAGATAAACTAGTTTCGTGTTGACGCCCTCGAAATGTGAAATTTGAAGGAAATAAAAAAAAAAGATCCCGATGGACATAAAAAAACTATTAAATTTACATACCAAATTTTATTATCAATACTTTTTTTGATTTTGTCAGCAAATAACAGACTTGTTAAAGCTAAATGTTCGACTATATATCGTAACCATGTGAATTGCAATTAGAAAAAAAGCAACATGAAATACTCGTATTATTATTTTATGTTATGGTTTGTCCTTAATTCATGTAACACTTTTCAAAGTAATTCAAACGGGTTCGTAATATCGCGAGATCACATTTTAGGTAAGCCAGGCGGACAGAACGAGTAAACAGATAAAAAAAGACAGACATATGGTAAAACGTATAGCTTTTTTTGTGTTAAACACAGTTATCTGAACGTTCTAATCCCTTTCAAATTTATATTATATCATGTGCTCTTGGATATCTAAATCATAAGTCGATGTCTGAATTCCAATAATTCTTAAAGCTATAATGGTGTTGATTATGTTCCATTAAATGAAAATTATTTCAAATTCATATCAAGCTATCATTTTATGTTATGGAAATACCCATAGTAAAAGTTAAAAATTGGTAAGAGGGGAATTTTTGAGGTTTAAAAAAAAAAACCATCACCTAATTTCATATTTGAAGAATGCGTGTAAATATTTTTCGAGTAAAAGGACTATATGTTTTCTTGTTCATAGAACATATCTAAACGATAGTGAGTTTCCTGATTACAATTGCATGTTACCATTACAATCTAAAACAAGAACATTGAAAGGCTCTCCACGTTAAAAGAGGTTTGAGGTATGATAATCCGTTTAACTTTCATGACAAGTACGTTATTTGTTAAAATCATTTAACCAATACTCAAATATTATGGTTGTAACAAATAACATAATCAAGTGGCAGCATGGGCCTATTGGTTGACCCGTCGGACCAGTTAAATCTAAGGCATTGCTGACCGTTCAAACCCTATCATGGGCAAGCTGTTGTTTCCTTGAGCAAAAAACTTTACATTTATTGCTTAGTACTGTTGGTTCCAGGAACGGATCGATAGTGCTTCAAAAAGCTTATAGCTTTAAAGACAATGGAACTAAAATAAATGTGTATTAACTAAATAACATATTTAGTAAATTGTGTTCTGAAATAATGTATCAGTAGCAAAAAAGCCAACAGGATAATTTGTGACTTGTTTTTCTCTCTCTTTCAGATAAAAGGAAAGTAGTAACGAAGTTCCATTACGTTTAATAAAATATTAATACAAATTTAAATACAATTATTAGAATATGGAATATGGAAAACCTTCATGGTTAGCATTATTGCTACTTTAGACCAATGAGGCGTTTCCTTGATACTGAGTTATTGCAATCAATAATTAACTCATAAACACTGCATATTATACATGTATAATGCACAAACCTGAGTTGAAAAGAATCCCCCGTATGGATTTCTGTCTCAATAAGCCACCTGAGAATTGGCAAACCGTTAGCTTGTTGATTCATTTTTTTTATATGTCATCAAAAGCATATGATTGCAAATTTCGATTTCAAAGAGAATGTAATTTATTCTTCCAATATTTCTTGTTACCTGCATAATCAATTCAATAGTAATATTCATTGGTTTGCAGAATGGAAAACAATAAAACACCCAAACATAGCAAAAATAGTCATAAACAACATCTTTTTTAAACAAAGTTGAATACATGTATACATTTTTGGTTTTTGTATGCCAATGAGAGGCTGTTAGTAGTACATTTTCTCACACCATCATGAAGTAAATAATAATTGTTTGCCAATGTTATTCAGTATATTATATAGATTAAAGTACTATTTAACACCAGTTTGGAGTTTTGGTGCCGGTGCTAAATAGTTCGCATCAAACAACAAAAAGGTGTTGGAATAGCCGGTATACAACGCATATATCAATATGATTTTTTCGACTCTAACAAGACAAAGTATGGAAGATCATTAACACCTTTTTTTCTAATCTTATAAAAGATTTTATTTTATCAAGTTTTAAAACAACTATAACCAGCATATCATACTGGATGTTTGCAGTGTTATATAACGTTGTAAGATAAACCCCATATTCATATTCACCCATGTAAGCTTTTAAATGACGTTATTCTAGTTCTTCTTTAGATGGCGTCATTTTGTTAGGTTAATAAATAGAGCACAGTTATTATAGCATGACGTGAAATGTAAACGATATAAAGTCAAACTTAAATAAACTCTTAATCTGTATATATCTATATTGTATATAAATACCAAATCATGTTATCATTAAATTTGTCCTTAAAAAAGTCAAATCAAATACCTGACAAACTGCCGGCAGGTTTATTTTGGAGGTTTAGTTTTAAAAAACAACAGAAAAGTGTGATAACTATTATGGTATGATAACAAATTGTCTTAATATGACTTTACTGACGGTTCAATGAACTTAATAAATTATATAAAAGTTTCTCTCTTTTTTCATAGTGAACCAATGACGATCGTGTATCTCGAATATATAACAGTTTAATATATATGTTTCAAACTAAAGTTACTCTTATTCGTATCCTCAGACAAATTTGTAAACTTAGATTAAAGAAAAAATAATAAAAATTTTTATTTTTTTAAAAAAAAAATTCATATTATTGGGTGACCTTACCGGGGGCCGAGGGCTTTTATTTGGACTATTTTTTTGGGGGGGCCAGCCCGCAAGGGGTATTTTCCTATGAGTAACTGTTTACACGACCCCAAAAAATAAGCCCCCAATTTTCCCCTTTTTTTTCAAAATTTCGGGAATTCATCTGGGGGAAACCCTTTAAATTTTAAAAAAAGCACTCCTAAATTTTGACACTTTCCTTTTCCCAGTTCAATTCAAACTGGTCATCCTTTAAATTTAAAATTTATTTTACAAAATAAAAATTTAAACCCCAATTAAATTCCAAAAAAAGAGCGAAAAATGTACTTGTCTATCATTTAAAAATTAGGGTACCCAAAACAGGTTGGTTTAAAATTTTTTCCTTTTTTACCCCCAAAAAAACCCCCTCTGTTGCATTTGGCAAAAAAAATTACAAAATTACCTATAGAACTCAATTAATTTATTCTTTTCCTTTGTTCAATCACAAGTTAGTACTTATAATAAGAGGACAATTATCGCATGTCATGAATACTTATACTTTATATATAATTCTAGATGATAAGACACAGTATTAAACATTTATAATAACCCACAGCATCGTTATTTTAATGATAAAATATTTTCAAATACCGGTAACTCGTATGTATAACTACCTTCATAATTTCAGATTCTTTGACTTCTTGAAGTGCAACGAGGACGTAAGCAAGCATTGCTTTGCCGCCAGCTGTTTCCACCCCTAAAAATCAGCGTACAAAAGCGTACAAATCTTTAAACTTGTCATAACATGATGTTATTTCATATACAAATGCCAATATTTTCACGAGTGTGATGTTTTTGACATATATAGTCAATCCCAAATAGTATCATATTTAATGCGGAACATTCTAAACATTTTTACCATCGGAGAAAATCTTTTTAAAGACAATCCCTTACTTTTCCCTATATAAGATTTGAAGTTTAAGGGAAGTTATCTTTTCCGCAAACGTGGATAGTGACGCTTAACTTTAAGACAATGAAATAAGCAGATAAATCTAAGTGCCTGAATAAGATTTTAAGATAATTTCATCATAATGCTGGTAAACGTACCTGCCAGACCTTTGTGTCTTACGATGCCAACATTGTTGAGAGTACCAATCTGGAATACTTGGTGATCAAGTATAAATTTGACAGCCCGTTCGACAACATTATTATCAATAAAGATGAGATCAAGTTTATGTGCCTGAGCAAATGACTTAAACAACAAAGGCCGTTAACCTGAAAATATGAAAGCAATTAGCATCATTTATCATCATACACAAATACCAAACATTTATTACTCTAATTTGTCATTTCACGAGAAACATAATTATAACTATTTAAAAACTGACTTTTGAAGTAGAATTTTGGTATTCCGTAGATAACAAGAGCTGTCTGTAGGACAGCAACGCTCGACTATTCTAAATGCTTGATAGTAAAAGAGCCTTGATAATGTAAAATTTTCTGAGTTAATAACAAAGGACAAAATTTTTCTTTAAATCCATGTTACAGTTATATGCCTTGGAGAGAGTCCTATTATGCTCTCAAAGAAGAGTATAAAATTTCATCTTGTTTCAATAGAATATGAAAACATCTGAGGTGGTTTGCAAACCTTAATGTTCTAACTTGAAAAAGGGTCATAAATCTGTCAAAATGCTTGATACAGTTACCTCCTTCTGTCTACAGGTTCGGGTTATAATGGTGAACAAGTGTGCAAATTTTCAAAGCCATATGTCAATGGACTTTGAAAATATTTGAGGTATTACAAAAACTTTAACATAAGTAGTCACGCCGACGCCGACACCGACGCTCGGGTGACTACAATAGCTCTACTTATTCTTATCGAATAGTCGAGCAAAAAACCAAAAGAAAATATGCAATATATTGTGAAATACTATACAAATGCGTTAAAGCTACCACTTAACCTGAACTGAAATACTCTTTTTGCAGAAAAGACGGTTTATTACTTGCATGATTACAAACTTTTATCTCCATATTCCATATACTCATGAATTATTCATTGTAAATGTAAGAACACAACATTTTATTTTATCTAGAATCCATTTTAAAATATCAACGCTTTGGTGCAATTTCTTTTCATATAAACAAACCTTAAATGTACTATTATTGGACAATATATTTAAAATATTTAAAGTAGGAACAATTTACCACAAGCTCCCTTCTTCATCTGCATTTCCAAACGCACTGAACGAGCCATCATTTCTTTGGTAAAGAAGCTGACGTTGATATCCTTAAAGACAAATATGCAAAATATTTATAAGAAATACAAACACACATTTGACAATAGCTGTGATAATTGTAACTATATAAGATAAAAGTACAAAGATGTTTGCGTTATAACATATTTTAATTGTTGATATGATTATTCCTCTTAATTTTGTTATTAATTTAAAACAACATAAGCAACTACCATAGGTCAAAACAAATTATGAATAGAAATATCATTTTACCCGTCTTCAGTATGTTCCTTATCTTTTCTCTTTTGGCATCGTCAATGCGGTTGGTTACATTCATATATAAGGCGGCTTGAATACTTGGCGCAAAGTAGAGCATGTTTTGCTCACCGCATCCATACGGCATTCTTAACAATTTATCAAGATTCTCAAAAGATGCGCCAAAAATGTCACCTGAAAAACAAGATGTAAGCATTTTATTTAAAAAAATATGAAATATTTAGACTTTTACATTTGATCTAAATTTAAAAGAAAACAAAACTATTCAAATAAGGTAGAAATAATAAGATTAATATAACATAAAAGCTAAAAAATATTACTTTTGACAGCCTTGTTTTAATAAATGACAGATACTAAATGCTTCAATACAGAGAACACATTTTCGTTTTCCATGATGTATGAAACACATATCACGGAACATGATTAAATTCTATAAATTTTCATCAGCCGAGGAAAAATATATGGAATTTATTATGTCGAGTCAAAATATAATCCATATTCTACTCAAAACGAAAAAGTAATTTTCTTTTAATTATACAATCTTTACAATCAAGAAAGGCAGTACAATTGTTAACCAGAACCTCAACTTGCTATACATCTGCAATTGTATAGCGAGCATAAATACATTGTAAGATGATTAATATAAAGTGTCTGATACGGTTCAATACCAATTTTATTGCAACAATATTAACAGAAAATAACAACAAACCAGAATAGCCGGATGTTGTAATTTGTTTTTTGTATTTTCACATATTACACATCACACAATGTCACTCTAATATATTGTGATAATGAAAACAAAAAACTGAATCTGTCAGAAAAAACACATACAGTATGCCAAAGAAAAACATCTGAGAAAGTAGTTCCTAGTAATAAAAATGAGTTTTGAGTGCATCCACTTTCACTACAGATATGAAATATATTTGACTGATACAGTACAATATTTCATTGGCATAAAATAAAATAAAATTGAACATTGTGCATCAAAGCCGAACATACCGAACACAGTAACTCTAACGTAATCTGAATCTGGAACTAGTTCTGGTGGATATACTAGATCTGTCGTTACAGTAGTTGCACTGTTACTTTGGAAGGAAACAAGGATTGGCGTGTTCTTTGACTTCGGAATACCCTCCGCCTGAGAATAATTATTACAAATTATATAAATGACATTTTAACATTTGAAGAGATTGTAAATTGTACAAAGAACTAAGATAATATTTCCAAACATACTTTTAATTTCGCAGAACACATCCGGTTGACATTTAGGTCACTTTGAATGATACCAATACTTTAACCTGAGTGATATCACACTGTCATTTAATGCATATCCTAAAATTCGCTATAAATCACAAAGCCCTGGCAAATATGCGTTATGACACTTAAAAAAGACATTTATTTAACATTTGAGTTGAAAAACAAAACTCGTTAGCCATTTATGGAGAAATGTTCACAAAAGAAACGACGTATCACTATTCTACCGTCCCAGACGATTAACTTTAAAACAGACGATTTGTTTCGTTTGAAAAGTTAGCAACGTAAAAATAATAATTTATTGTCCTTAGACCATTTTAGAAAATTACAGTTTTAAGTAAACTAGTACATACATTTAAAAACATAAAATAATTTATTACCTTGACTATCAGATCCTTAATAACTACATCAAATATAACAGGTGGTCCTGCAATTTTTGCTTCAATTACAATCCTCATGTCTGGCATAACCTTTGTTGGTTTGATGTTAAAATAAACCGGTGTTGCCTGGCCTTTTTTTACCTTAAATATCATTACAGCCTTTGTAATCGACAAATACATAATAGAAGTCATCTAATATTGTCTCATCCCTATATCACAAGTATCAAAAGCAGATTTCGTTTACTTTAAATCATGAATTCTCTGTAAAAGAGGATCCAAGATCGTTATGACTTCACTAAAAATACCGGTATGCAGTCGACTTTTGTATCAATAAAAACAGTATACTAATGTTGCTGACATTAAAGCAATGAATATGAGTTGTACAAATGGAAATTAACTTGCATCGTTTTTCAAATGATTAAAATACATACAAATACATACAAATAAGCGCATGGTTTAGATAATACGTAAATATCATCAATAAAACGTAAGTATTATCAATGATGTTTGAACACGGAACTTTTTCTCAAATGTTCAAAACCTTATTTATGTTGACAAGTTTAGACGGCTTATGACCCATTGCTATAAAATACTGCTTGAAAACGCTTCCTCATGTTCCTATTAGGTTTCCGACAGTCCAAGCGGGGATTGCGGCTCATTTTTCCATCAAAATGTCCTCAAGCTCCTGGATGTTGTATCTGTTGAGCTAATATCCGTACCTGCAGCTCATTTAACATGGGCCCAATTGGATTTAGATCAGCTGATTGAGTCGGTCAGTCAAGGTGTCCAATAGAGCTCAATTGCTTCAAGTCTAGATTAACCTGCTCCTGTTAAGACGCGCATTATTATTCATGAAAATTAACTGATCCCCAATGGTCCTGCATACATCCTAACTTGGGTGTCTAACATTTCATCGATGCACCAAAGATCAGTCAGTGTAGCTCTACCAAGAACAAAGAGGTCGGTCCGAGCTGATGGCACCCAACCTCGTAGTGGTGGTGCTCAGAAATATTTTTGGCTTGAAACCTTTCCTCCAGGTCTTCTTCAAGCTCCCGCACGTCTGTTAGTAAAGTCGGGGCAAAACTCTATAGAGAAGGGAACCTGCCTGCAGAATTGTTTGGTCTACCTAACACGGGCCCGTTTACAATTGGCTATGGTGTAAACGGGCCCAAGCCAATTGTTAACGGGCCCGGTGTTGACTACGAGTCAATGCATACTTTATAAAAACAAATTTTGATCGCAGATTACACACGTTCAACCGCCAACGCACCGCATGAGTACTATCATTGATTCCAGAAGCATTAAGACCATAATAAAGATGCGTTATTGTTAGTCTTGCGCTGCTATCGTCACCCTTTGATTGCTTTCGACATGCCTCCTAACGAGTGTACCTTATTGCTGGTAGGTTGTCCAGGCTTTGGTGTAAATGGTTTGGTGTACATTATCACAGTGTTAGCCCCTGCCACACCACCATCCATACAGTCCTCGATATATTTGCTTCACTTAAAAGGGTTTGCCATGTCAAAGTCATCAATAAAACAAGTCCGACTTTTGAATGGCTTAGGGCCACAGATTATGCAAAATAAATAAATTTATCATTTCTAAACTTCTCATATTGAGAATATAGTGAAAAAATGTTAATGCTTAGTTTTGAGTAGTTTGTTGTTTGATTGATTGGATTTTACGTCACACCGACACAGTATATGTCAAATGGCGACGTTCCAGCTATACTGGTAGTTTTCAATAGTATATATTAGTGTAGGTTACTTGTATTTTATTGTTAGATGTAACTTGTAATGTAATACACACTATCCCGTATATGTATTTTTACAAGTAAACGCAAATGTTCATGGCTTACCAAAACACATTTGGTTTGATTCCCTGTGATCTCATTTACTTTGCTGTAAGAACCAACAGTTATCCCGACAAAATCATCTTGACCCACTAACGTAACCATGACCTGTAATCAAATGAATGCATTATGTCCGACCAAAATAACAATATGATGAATTTACGGTGATATTTAAATAAGATATGACTTACTTTGAACCTTTTTGTATTAATGCTTCATATAAATTTACGAGTGTTCGATAAAATTATATTGCACTAAAAATACAACAATAAGATATGATATAAAATATCAACAAGGAAAGGCGGCGCTCAACGAACGCAACCCCATATAATTTACATATAATACCAATGAAATACGTTTATAGCTTCGATTGCTCTAACTAAAGTTTATGAATACTTCGTTATTTGTTTTGAAACTTAAATAGATATCGGTATAATATAAATCAAGAACAAATTGACAATAGACATAATAATGTTCCTGATTGGGTTTAATATGAAAGCAATGATTTTTTTATCGAATATGATCGGTAGTACCAATTTGAGACTTTTCAAAAATTGTTTATAATTGAAAGTTCAAATTAAAACACTTACATTGTAGTCCTTATCAAGTTTGTTGAAAATATTTGCCTGGATGACAGCGATCTCATTTCTGACGATGGAATATGGCAGCTGTGCCTTTATAAAGAAAGGCAATAACGCCGTCATCTGTGAAACCAAAAATTTTATAAAAAAATCTATAAATTATATCAGTTTTATCTGTATATATTTTAACAGTTTAAACATAACATATCATTTTACACGGGAAGGGACAAATTTCATATAGCATTATGCTTACTGTATAAGGTAAGTAATTTGTAAACTCAAATCTGGAAAGAACAATTTGCATGTGACGTTTAATTTATTTATCTAACTCTAATTAAATTGATGGTTGATTAAAAATCAAACCTTTTAATTAGAATTTTAAAGCGTGAATGAATAATGTGAACAATTCGTAATATTCATTATACGTATATGCATTATCTAAGTTAAAGAAAACTTTAAGGAAAATAACTAAAAGGAATATTTTGTTTCCGGTATAAGAACGTTTTTTATACACTTGATTTCTCGGAAGTGTTAAGTGCATCCTTCTTTCAAATTACTTATACTGAGTATAGCACTACAACATAAAATATCTTACACTTAAAAGCAAAAGAAATTATTTACAGTATACATTCAATTACTATCAATTACGTAGCAAAATTAAATGCAGGTTTATTACTATGTTTTGTTTACCTATATCTTAAAGACTCATTAATAAATAATATGAAATACGATGCTTACATTAGCTGGGAAAGGTGCAACTCCGAGACCAGATCTCTCATTAAGAGCAAAGGCGTTGGCAACATATTCAGTTATAGTATCAGGTAGTGCTTTAGAAAACGTCGCTGTACCACCACTGAAATAGAGAAAGATATATGACCTAAGAGTTAATCATGAGGAAATTATTATTTAAATAATAATTTACTATCGCCATTACTATTATACAGGTTAGCACGTTAAAGTGATGAAATTACAATCTGAAAAATAAAATGTCAAGTAAACACCCTGAAGTGACCGTTCAATTTGAACATCTTAAAACATTTCCATAAAAGATTTCATTTTAGCATCGTTATTTTAACTGAATTAATCTATATTGATTGATGGAGTTGACTATCCATCTGTGTAATTAACATTCTTATTATACTATATACTGTCTAAATCAACACATTTTCTAGTTAATTACTGCACTATTATAATGCATTGTATCACAGCTGTGTGTAATATATTAACTTTTTTACTCATTATTTTACAAGATCAACTTCTTACACAGCTATTTTCGAGTCCCAGATCCATGTTTCAGGAAAGTATTGCCTTACTTGACCTTGTGCAGCAGCTGGGGCTGCTGATCCACCCACTGCATCATTAGCACTGAATGCAGATGATTGCATCATTCTGCCTGAACTTCTTACACTACTCACTTTACCTAAATCGTACCTCTCTGAAAAATCATTTTAACATATCTTGACATCATTAAATGAGACTACAAAATAATATTTTATTTTAATTAACTTTTACAATGATAACATATGCTAAAACTATTTATAAACTGTTATACATACATGTATTTGTCTTATCTTAAGCACGTTTCAATCCAATGTATATTTCTTCATAAGGTATGGTTAAGGGAAGCATGCGGTTTTAAGCGACACTATTTGTCATGCCAATTTTTCCTTCTTGTACATCGGTCCTGTTAATGGTTAGTTTCAGAGATCAGGTTCGAATGTTATTTAAAAAAGCTATAAGGTTTTTTTCCACAACCGAGTTTCGATTTCTTAAATACGGTTTATTCTGATGAAAAAAGAAGATGATATTAATTAACAGAAACAGACTCCTTTCTTTTTCAGTCAAAATATCTAAATTATTTAATTGTTAAATGGAGACATACCTTCAAGCAGTTACATAAAGGGCATATGACAGACTAATATATATAATTATTTATCATTTAAATCAAATTAGATGAAGTTATGATGTGCTTCCTTTCCATATAATTCAATTATAATAAAAGCTTCGCTTTCATGAGAAGATAAATATCAGGTTTATGGTACATACGGCTTTATCAAACAAAATTGTACTTACTCTATGTAGCGTTTGACATTGTAAATAACAACATAATTATTGTAATGTCGAACTTGTTTTAAATAGCAGGTAGACATTTATCTAAAAGCTAGACCCAAACATTATTTGAATTCTTCGAAAACGGATATTGATAATAAAAGATACGTTTTAACAATACATTAATTGAATAATGAATAAATACATACGTGACCATAGGTCAAAGCTGTAAAGATGAGCGTCAGTAAGAACTCTGATCTGGGCATTCTGGAAGAACAATTAAAGATGTTTTACCCATTTTGAATTTCTTTATCCATAAATAAAATATCTGTTATGCAGTTTCACTAACTCTTTGGATAATGTTCTTTATAATGTAAACTTTAGAAAAGAAACAAAAAACATAAGAAATATGTAAATATGTCTTTATAATTAATGTAAATATTGGTAAATAATAATTTACTTTAAATCAATGATACTAAGCTTTTGAATAATTTTACAATTACTCTAATTATATTCTTAAGTCATACTCGTAGTACAATGACCCTCAAAATGTACAGTACGGTAACGGGCAAACCTATTTAGTATTTTTTTATAACGTAACACTGTGCTTATTTTTTATCGTTTATTTTGAATATGATTGATGATTTAAAGAGCTATCTTGGAGAAGCATGCTGTAACCTTATAAATAACGTCTTGGTGACAATTTCAATTTCACCAGTTTTACTTACCATCTAAATGTTGACATTTTAGCTTAAACTGTTGTTATGTATGGGAACTAAACGGCGTCAATCAACATTTTTTTTCGCAGTGAGATTGTATGTATTTTAACTTACATCAAAAATATCAGAAGCATCATCAGCAGTAAATGACCATGGTAGGATAGGGCCCCAATCTCTCCAGATCCTAACAGTATTTCCAAACTGATTCATTTCATCTACCACCTGAAGTCAGAGGATAGGTAAGTCAAAATGTGTTTTTCTTTACCTTTAAACACAATATCAGAATTGATTTCATTCTAAACGTAGAAAACTAAATTTAATTTTATGCATAAGACTCGATCATATATATATTACTTCTTGATCCTTAGTTGACAAATGCGTTTAAAAGTTTAACAAGATGCCAACACACAGAAAATAAAACTGTTTGTCATTCTGTCAGTTTATGAGTTGTATAATATTAACAAAATACAAAAGTGAGTACTATCAAAATACTTAAAGTTATCCACTTCATGTAATATAAAAATATGATGAAACATTTTTACCCTATTGGGCGTAATGTCATTGCCTTCCCCAAGCAGCTTCACACTTTTATCTACAGCAAGAACTTTAACCATCGAATCAGGATCAGCTTTAACAACCAGGTCTACCAAAGTTTTGGGCTTCTGTGGCGACGGCTGAGTGAAATGTATAGTAACCTGAAGATATAAAATATGCATTAATATTAAAACAAACAAACAAAGGTGATTGTTTCATTTTTTTTTATTTTAAAGCCATGAGGTGAAGAAATTATGCGTAATAAAGTTTTATATCACTACATATCATAAGGATATAAATTATGTTTTGTGATTATTTTCCGTTTGGTTTTTAAACATACATGTATAAAATTTAGTTATATAATTGAAGGCTAAAATGAAAGAACGCATAACATATAGTACTCACAGTGAAACCTTTTATTGACAAGCAAAATCGTGGCTAAGAAGCGCCGATAAACTAAATTTAACACATAAATTACAAATGTGGATGAGTATTTTTACTGTCGAAGAAAAAGGTTATTATAGCACAGGGTACATGCAATTATCTGTCGGTTGTAAGATCTAAATCTAAATAATATGTTGTTCACAATAAGAAAGGTACCTTATTTTCGAATATATTTTCTATGAAGAAATTTAGTCCGTCAGCTACAACTTCATCATCAGGTTTTACGTAGTAGGCAATAAATCGTGCTGAAGGAGTCATATCCCGTGTTAGTTTGAACTGAACTGTTGCTTTATTCGGGTTCACACCAACATTGACATCAGAGCAATCAACTATTACTCCCTTTGATAAAATCTACGAGAAATGAAACAGTTTTTTTACATAGAATATTGAAGTTTTAACAGAATTATCAACCCGGCGTACATGATAGCAGCCATGTTCAAAATGTTATTTGGTTGGTAACTACGCAACTGTATTTACAGATGTTATTATACATTTATATATAATGGCAGTCATGCTATTATATTCTAACCGATTATATTATTCTACGAACAAAATTTAGTTTACAAAACAATCATTCATGAAAGCACTTTTTTTTCAGCACACCATACGAAATGACATTTTTTCTGAAAATTATTTAATCAATCAAAATACATTGTATTTCGAAATGCAAGCCACATTCTCCGAAAATTAAGTTACGAATAAGGCATTATTGTATCATAGTTTGGGGACATTTTTGTTGTAAATGTGTCCGAGTTAAATCGTATACATATACATGCACAGTGCGTTAACTGGAGTGCAGGTATTAGTTACCCGCACTCCAGAGCATGCCCATTGATTGGCTCATTTTTGCTAGGGTTTACTTATTGTGACGGAAGAGAAAGAGAAAGCGACAGAAATATCGTATTCAGATGCTCGTTTATTGGTTACTTTTTCTCGGGGTTTCATATTGTGACGACAGGGAACGTGTTTTAATGTTTGACTATGATACAAAAGAGAAAAACCATCAAAACACTCGGCAATCTGATTAATACTCGGGGCTACGCCCCCTCTTACAAATCAGATAGCCTCGTGTTTCGATGCTCTTTCTATTACATTTTGTACTTAATTGCGACTTATCTTATACAAATTATATCCATTTATAAGTAAAGCATTATTGAAAAGAAAAAGCGTACCATCCAATTGATATTTATTCCTCCAATTGTACTGTCAATTTCCATAGTGACGATGTCGTTAATCTTAATTTTGAATAACAAATAATATTGATTATAAATAATGAAATTAAAACAAACGACTAATAAGGACTGATATAGACTTAATTTCAAATAAACTTGGCCCGGAAAGTATATGAAATACTATTAATGTGTATTTATTCCCATACATCAAATTGAACCTCTTTAATAACTTTGAAAGAATAAATAAAGGATACAGAAAAACCACAGCAAAACAAGCAAAATCTATTTAATTTCCATAAACATGTAACTGTAATTATATTTGAAATGTTATTTTTTTCTTTGAGTAACAATTTTTATGCTTGTTCTAGTTTATTTTTGCCATTCTACATAGAATTATTACTTTAAACAAGGAATTATCAGAGACTACTTTATGTGACCATTAACTTAAGTTAATTTGTAAAATGATGTCTGTATAATATGCCACGCCTTTTGTGAGTGGGTTTGTGGCCTTTTGCAAATAAAGTAAAAATAAGTATAACAATATGACACTTTTACCTTCAGTGCAGACATTGAATTTAACATTCGAATTCTGAGGAAACTGTCGGTTGGAGATCTGAATCTGCTTACTTCTTTTACAGCATTTACTCCAGAGTATTCTGCCTGCAAATATAAACAATCTAAATGTCAATGTAAGAGTCATCGATTTTATCATGAACTTTACCTCAATGTAATGCTTAGGCAGGTGATAAATTACCATTTAGTTCAACTTTAATGTACCTATATAATAAGACAGATACCGAATGAATTCTTAACGTAAAAGTGCATTGTTTTCGCCATGACTTTACATTAGAAAATAAATTACTTCTACACGATTTGTACGAAAATCCCTTAGATCAATTAGCCTTAAAACTCATTTTAAACCATCAACCAGCTAAAACTGAATTTACACCCTTTGCCCTTTGCTGACCATGCTTTATACTGATCAAGCTCAGTGTTTTTGCATTTTAATATTAAATCTAAATCTACTGTTCAGGGCATATCCAATACAAAACAAATCCTCCGGAAAATTATAAAAGTTGATTTGTTTATTTTGTTGGATTTCAAGTCAAAGCGGCACTGTAATCTTTCCAGCTTTACTAATGGAGGAAGCCCCTCTGGGGCCTCTTCGCGTTTTTCCAGACACAAGATGTAACCTGAGTAGAACCATCGACCTTCCGTAGATTTTATTTTGATAAATAATTTAAACTTAAAGTTGGTTTTAAATCATAAATATACTGTTACCTTTATTGAAAACGTGGCAGTATTGGCTGGAATCGGTAAATCAAACTTAATTGATCCGTCTGCTGCAATTGGGTATGTCTTCGTCTGTTTTAATATAACTTCTCCGTTGATGAACGGGTTGATAAGGGAATAATTATCAAATGTTACTCTGTCTGGTATCTGTTCTATGACTTTAGCATCAGTAAAGAAGGTGAATGTAAAGAGGACATTTTTGTTGTCTGTTGGTTTAAAGTCAGGTGGGCTACCATCCTGCAGTGTGACCTTCGCCTATATTAACGATCAGTTTGATAAATAATTCAAAATTAGCAATTAGTATAAAATAATCCGTTTAAAATTTCTTAGGACACAAGTCAGATGATGACAGATTCATTTCTAGCTAATAAAGATCAAATTTATATATATAATTGATCTTCTGATAAAAGTCAGTTTTCTATATGTTATTTTTTCACTATCTTTCCGATTTCAATGTACAATTGTAAAACAATATTGTCTTGCAATTCATTTTTAAAATTTTTATTATTAAAACTGTCGTCATTACCATGACGCTAATACAAACAAAACAAATACATAACAAAATGTAAAAGAAGTGTCCCATTTATGAAACGTGATAAGATAGATAAACAACTTACAGACACTTTGTATGGATCAAATCCAGGTTTGAAGTTATCGGCCATATTTGGGAAGAATTCGAGTTTGTATGGATTGCTATGGTAACGAATTTCCCCCTCCCCTTCTAAAGTTTGTCCAGTCATTGTCTCAGTACAATTTGCATGGACCAGAAACGTCTCGTAATCAAGTTTGTCTCGAATCAAAGTTTTAACCAGGTCCATTGGTACGCTGAATGTAGCTTCTCCATTGATCTACAAATATATCATTGCATTCATAGAAGCTATTTTGTTTTAGTTTTACATTTGACACACTTTCCTAAATGTTTCCATTTTTGACCATTTGCTCAATTTCTATTTTGTTTTCTATATGTAGATGTGCATGAAGCTGATTTCATGTTTATATTGGACTTAAGTTCTTAAAAAAGGTATTATCGCAACGTTCGAGACATACTATAAAACTCATTTTCAGAATAAATTTGTCAGGAACAGAAAATATTCATTTTCAAAAACTAAAGTCTAAAATTGTACTTTTTTAGAGGAGACGATACTCATATATATATAACTACACACTCAGGTAAAATAAACTAACCAGTGTCAAATTAGTTCTAACAGCCTTAGGGTGATAGAATCCGGATCCATATCGTTTGCTGATAGTGAGAACGCATGTCCCATCAACAGGGTCTCCAAATGTATACCTAAAAAGTTTAAACATGATATTAAAACATAGTAAAGCTGAAATTGAATCTATATATATAAATGAATCATTGCACAGACACGAATAAATTGTTAATGCATTAAAGGCAAATATGTCTACCATTTATTCAGAAGTGGTTTAAGAAAGAAGAATTTGCTTTCCTCATTGAATCAAAGAAGTCTCGTTTTTGACTAGTCGAATCTATTTTCAGGTTTAACATAAGTTTGTACGTCTCCCGTTTATCATGAAAAACATGAGAAAAAAATGATAAGGGGTAGTAGTTAAAAGTTAACTATTAATATAGCTAATGTTTACATATTTATATATTATCTTAAAACAGGTTCCGACGTGCATATTTTCGATTTTGTCTAAACAGGTGAGAAAATTACGTTGCTTTAGCTCTTCCGTTTAGAAACGTGTCTGTTGCTCTTCCAAACGCGTCTAGCTCCACGGTTACTTCAAACTGGGGAAGCACTGTGAATCAAGTTTCAATATTTCAGAGACAAACAGTAAGATATAATGTTATTCTAATAAATATAAATTTGATTAAAAAAGGACAAAATATGTTATTACACATTTTAATAAGGAAAATAGTAGTTTATCGGAACGTAAGCTTCTATACCTTAGAAAATGATTAGTTAAATTATTAGTTTTAAAAAGTATTACAAATATCGTTAACAATGGAGTTACATAACCCAAATAAACTATTTTTTGAACGCACACAGTCATGCTTATATATCAAAGAAACATAATATTTTTACAATACATTCAGGTAAAATAAGATAAAAATAACTGTTAAAATTTTCTTACGTGCTCGTAAAATAAGAAATATAATTTCTTTAACAACAAATTTATATACAATAACGATAGTGAATATATATAATAACTATTTCTTATACGGTATAAAGTATATTAAACAGTGTTTTTAGACGTTCCCAATATAGGAATGAACTTACCGTATTTTTTCACTTCAAAATAATAGCTTTCGCTCTCGTCAGTTTCCTTTGTTTAAAACAGAAGAAAAGACATTGTTTAAAATCCTATTTACTTTGAAATTTGATATTGTCTTTATTAGATGGTTTGTAATACTTAATGTCAATTGACAAGTTTTTTCAGTATGCCACTAGGGGATAATTACTTGCAAGTCCAGAAAACTTCCACTGACATTGTGTCTAAAATGTTTGCTTCTTTTTTTTCGGGATTATTTTTTATCCGTTTAAATGCCAATCAAGGTATACGTTGGACTATTGAAATACATAAAATTGTAGTTAATCAAGACAAAACTCACTATTGAAATACATTAAATTGTTGTTAATCAAGACAAAACTCAATACCCAGGACTAATTTCATAGCAAGTGAACATGAAATAATCATTTAAACCAATATTATATGTATTTTGTCTCTTACATTAACTGTTAATATTTTTCAAGGTGTGAACTGAAAGTTAACCTTTTGAATAATTTCTTACGAGTTGTTTTTGTTTGTGCATTTTGTCTTTTAAGTTTTTCAATTTCATCTTCATATTTTGTAGGTATAAATGGCATTCTTTATTAATATTTTTTTAATTAAAGCATATATATTTAATTGTACAGATCGTAGTATGTTATCTAATATATTGTGTAAATGTGTGTTTAAAGTCTTTTTTATTTCGGTATTTTGTTCGTTTGCTGTAGTTTAATAAACGATAAAAAAATGAAATATAGTTTCAGTAGCTTACATTTACTTGAACATGTATCCTCCATTGGCCAAGCATTGATACCTTTGATAATTGAAGGTAACCCTCTATACCGAATTTGTTTCTGACCCCCATCAGTTCATCTATCTTATTTCTGTTAGGGTCCTACAATAAAAGAAATATGTATAAATGTACTTGGAATGAATGAGTATAATAAAATAGGAAACTCCCTTTCGAATTGGAAAAAAGGTAGAAGTACTGAGTAAAAATTCCATTTGGCATTATAAGGCATTTGCTTGTTTTCGGATCACATTGAATATCTTGTTTAAAATATTTCGAACAGGTAAACGTTAAAATGAATTATTTACTTATATTGCATTTTAAAAGAGGTATAAACGTTGATGTAAAAAATATCAATTAGTACAGAATATATCTTACCTACGAAAATAAAATCTAACATTACTTTTTCTAAACCATTATGACATGTTCAAAATCAATCTAAACTTGTATTAATGTGTTTATATAAATATTTATTTATTTTTTACGTCCATTTTTAGAATGCTAGTAAGCATTTAAGGTATTATAAACAAATCGCTATCATTGTTTTAAATGGAACGAAAGTAAAATACTACAAAAGTCTTTAATAATCTTAAAAACATATTGAAATGAGCGAATTTTGTCAGTTTGGTAAAACTTACGAAGATTTCTATATTCAGTAATGGATCTGCTAAACTCAACTTGCTATCAACGGTAAAAACTCTGTACTGCACTGTAATAAAATAAAGATAGGTACACGTTAAGCATTTCATTAATTACCTTGTAGTATTTCGATAAATTTATAAGTGTCTTCTGTTTGAATCCTCTTATATACGACAGTAGTACTAGTATATGTACAAAACAGATGACATCTAAACACGTACATAATTATGTACATGTATGTGGCACTTTAGAACTTGAACTGAAATAAAAGTGATAAATTACACAATATCTACCAAAACACTTCAAACATGGGTCGGAAATCGATACTGCGATTTGACGTCCGACGGTATGTGCCGGAATAAACAAAATATTCAGGCTTATCTGTATAAAAAAAACAACAACATAAAAATCTAGCTTCAAATATACCTTTATCCCCTGGCTTATACATTGCTTTATCAGTCTGCACAAAGATAGCAAGAGTTTTTGCTCTCTGGAATAACACCGATGTTGAGTTCTTAAACGGTATAGGACCAGTACCCGAAATATGTACTTCATAGCTTCCCCATGACAGGTTTACAGGAATCTAAAAGCAGAATAGGACAATGACGAGAATGAAACAAGATTAGAAATGTGAATATTTCACTTATTCAATCAAATACAAATATTTTAAAGTGATGAGAAAAGAAATAAACTAAAGATAGTTTCATAAATTTTGCGATACATCACCCGGAGTTACCCATGGCGATTTCATTATTTACATGTACATTGCGACTTTATAACTGCGATCACTTGGTACGTATTTTAAGAAGAAACAGCACAAAATTGTACATACCGGTAGATATAGTTTAGTATTCGTCGCCACTGAAAATAGATAATTCATACAAATTAATGAACATAGATTCATTGTAGATGGGTAAAACAGAAAAGATGAGCATAACATTGGTTCATGTCTGTTCGTAGATGGCAGTGAGTAAAGGTTTTTACCGTTGACATACCCATGTACGAGTTTTTTGTTTTTCTTTTGTTTTTCTTTTTTTTTTTATCTTTTATTTAAAAACTTTAAGAACATTTACACAAAGAACATTTGCATACGTGTACAGTTAGTGCATTTAACATATCAAATAATGTATGATATCATTTTAGAATTATAGTAAAGAAAAAGGTATACATAGCTGTAATAAAATATTATAACATAATTTTACTCATCTTTTAACATATCTGACAATATTAAAAGTTTGTTGTAAAGCGTTTAATAAAATGAGAATTATATTTCTTATGGACGAGGTATAGTTTCATATTGTTAAGTTCGTGTAGAAGGATTCCATTAATGTTTATAGTATCAGCACGTTGGTTACTCATCATATAAGCTTTGTATATACTAAAGCTAATAATTGTAAAGACCAAATTAATTTGCCAAAGATTTGAATGCTGCGTATTTTCAAAACTATAACCTAGTACAATATTTTTGAGATTGAAAATATGTTTACAGATTCCTAGTGACTTAAAAGTTTCAATAATTCTTTTCCAGAAAGCATTAAGTGATTGACAATGAATAAAGAAATGTTCTGTGCTATCAGTACAATTGCATAAAACGCATTTCGAACTACTTTTCAATTTCCATTTGTGTAAGTATGTATGAGTTATGAAGAACTGAATATTGAAACAACCAAGGACATTGTATCAACAACGGATGTGTTCATATGAAGGTGACCATGGAAAGTACAATGTGACACTTTTGTGTCATTCCATGAAAAGTGATGTGTGTTCTTCAATATAATGATATGTTTGCGCCATGTGTGAACGCATTTAACTGAACTAAAAGAATGGAATAGAGAGAGCAGATTAGAGATTTTGCAAGTTATTCTGCTGGCATATCACAGTTGTCTGTTTTCAAAATTTTAAAAGCATGCAGTATATCCTCTTAGCTCGCTGACTTGTATTCAAGTAGGAACATTAGAACAAACAAAAATGAAATGATGTAACTTATAATATTTTTAAAACCAAAATTTTAAATATCGTGATTAACAATCTTCAATTTACAAAAATATAGAAATTTGCTTGGTTTGCTTTGACAGTGACGCTTTTAAAGATCTCATGGCGACTGTCCAGCTTAACTGACCACAAGATTCCCTCAACTTGCATTAATACAAGTACGACGAGCAGTCTTCGGAGTAGCACAGCTCGGATGGCTTCCTCGCGACAAAGAAAGTCCCTCAGTCAGAGAAAAATTGCATGAATTATTTTTCTTTCAAATATTTTGTTGCTGTTGTTATTGTTTTAGTGTGGAACTATTGTTCTTCTGCGTAAATAATTTAATTCATTTTTATGTATTTTTTTCGGGAGGGGTGGGGGAGTTTGGTAGGTATGGGTGTCTGCAAATATTTTATTTACTTTGGTCTGTTGGTGAGTGTTAATTATTAAATTTTAGAGACAGATGATCGAAATGAAAGTTATACAAATCATATACAATAGAAATATAAACATATTGAATGTTCACTTACTCCTAGGTACGCTCACAGTGACAGCAGAATGTTCCGTCCGTGTTTCCACACCACCAGGAGCCCGCTGAATCTGGATCAGTTTTGCCGTCAATATTTCATTAATAACAGGTTTAGCGAAAAGCACCTGGATGGTCGAATTGCTTCCTGCTCTTACATATCTTGGAATAAGGGCCATATAAGTGTACTTTGATGTTTTTGTTTTAACGGATTTTACTCTAAAATAAATAAGATATGGTATAAATACATTTATGTGGTACGAAATTTTAGATACCAAATGTAAATTTAATATATTACAGTAATGCATTGACATATAATTATGCTGCTGCTAAAAGATATGAAACAATTGCTAATTTAAATGTTTAATGAGCGCCATTTATACAAGACTCTTTAATAGCGGCAGAAATTAACTCTTTTTAAACATTAATCGCAAGTAAATGCCAAATACTTTCTTTGACTTTTTATGTATTTGACTTTGACATAACAAAAACTAAATTGTTTTTACAAATTGTTTTTATTCAAACTCAATATACTTTTTTCAAATCACTTTTTAGTTGGCTTCTTGTCACTTCTAATCGTGAAAGTATGAAAGTGATTACTTAAAGAATTGTTGTGAGGGAGACCACTCGGTTCATCTCCCTCTCAAACAAAGTGTAATAATCACACAATTATGCATATATGTTTATGCACTACTAACCATGACGAACCGATGATACGAAAACGTGTACTATTAACATAGGCTATAAAAATAATATTTTAAGTAAAATATGTAACAAGTAATGATATGGACATACTTCTGGCAATCGGCAATACTGGCAATTAACAGGAGGACTCCTGCTATGTGAAGCAGCATGTCGTTGATTTTTCCAATTGAATCAATTAAAACTGAAAAAAATAGAAATAATATGTACACGTGTGCAATTTTTCAACATATCTTTTTTGCTTCTTCTTAGAACTTACCAAATTCTATAGCTTTCAAACATTTTTTTTTAAATTTCAACGTGATGATCTGATTCGGTAACTCATACATTTTATATTATCTCGTACACAGTTATTACAAATACAATTATTTTGTGGTCACATGACAAACGCAAAGAAAACAAAGAATGATAATAAAAAAAAACATAAAAAGTTTAACTAATGATATGCTACACGTTTTGAGTATATGTCATTATAAATTTCATTCAAACGGAGAACTGACAGCTGCAAATAAAGAAAAAAAAAAGAAAGACCATCAAAACATCATTGTTATTTATAGAAATAAAGAATTATAAAAAAAAATAATAATAATAATAAAATCAGCCTCTGTCAATGATTGGCTTTGTCAAAGTCTTACATTGACCTATCTAGAGCCTTTCAGGCATGTACCAAATATTGTTCATGTTTTCTAATTTCGTGTCTTGAGATAAATCTCATCTTGTCAAATAAAATATTTAACTGTAAATAGAAAAGACATTCTTTTCTATTTGTTGTTGTTTCGTTTCATTTTATCGATAATGTGTAATCAGATTGCCTATTACTCCTTACACTCGGTTTGTTGAGAAAAAAAACTTAATGGAAACAATGGAGCAGGCGCATAACAATTATATAAAAACACCAATGATTATAAGATAAACGTCGTTGTAAAACGCTTTACACCATGGCCATATACGCAATGTATGAATATAAAACTCTTAGATGAATTTACGTTATTCCAACAATTGTAAAAGTGTAAATTTCATTGAATATTACATTATAATCTACTTGCACACACAAGATAATTATTGTTTACTATATGTTTACGGCTACCTTATTATGACTCGCACGGTAAACAGCCGTTTCATGTAAACAACAAAAAACAAACCCGTACGCACCATGAAATATATGAATTAACATAATGATTATTTAAATGTCAGCAATTTTCGCGTCAAATAAAGCAATCAGCATTTTTTTATTTATTTTTATATTCTATTTTTTTTTTGCAATAAAATGAAGCAGCATTTTGTATCACTGTTATGACTATGTTTTGTTTGTCTTTATTTTAAAGAATAATAAAATAGAAAATAAATTAACAAACAAAGCACTTTCATTTGTGCAATTACAATATGTTCATGATGAGATATTTTTTTTTTAAATTTATTTTGCATTTAAGACTAATTGAATGCGCGTTCGCATTAGCTGTGTTGGATTTATATTGTTAACGTCAGCATAACAATATTATAGTCATGAGCAATAACTCTCACTAAACAAATTCTTCTGGTTTTTGCACCAGTATTTATTTGTTTTATCTAAATTTAAAGAAAATTGGCCCATAACTGAAGGTATGCAATACCATCACTAATTATGTTGATGGTATTTAGTAACATATTTGACAACAAAGTATGAAAGAATTATATATGGATGTTGTCGGTTAGTGTCAGATATATAATCCTATATTTCTTTTTTATATATAGCGGATAATTAATTGTCAAAAAACAAATTATCATTATTCATCATATAAATGTCCAAAAACTAGATCATCATTTATTTCAGAAATATTTACTAGAAATATCCAAATAAAACATTTCTGTAGTGTTTCTTATCATTTTTTAAAGTATTTATTGAAAATGTGCCCAATATAGACCAATCCACTTAAAAAACATTTTGTTCAATATAATCACCTAAAACAGTTAAAGTTAGTTGAAAATGTCCAGTTTTATGCACAATATTGTTGAAAAAACATATTATACGTAAATAGACCTGACGTTAACACTTGACCTTTTGAACTGTCTCGTTAACGTCATATAATGGAAGCATATGCACAGTTGCAAATTGCAGTTTTTAATTGTTGAGTGAACAATTAATCACAGTACGTGCAAATATATACAACATCTTAATTCAACGTCATATTTTGTACACCAACATATTATATAGACAGACAGTAAATTAAATGAATATATATGAGTTAGCAAATGAAAATTATATTATTAAAGAAGTACATAGAATGGTGCTTTTATTTCTATAGTGATCAAACATTAGGTAACCTTCTGCAGAAATATTGAGCAAAATTATGTGCCCTATAATATTCAACAATTTTATTCTATTATATTTATACCATCGTACACATTCACAATTTCAGAATTACCAATTTTTCTGAGATTGGCATTGCGAAAAATAATAGATAAAATAATTAAAAAAAACACAAAGAAGAAAAATAGCTTCTGTGATTATCAACGACACAACTGCCTAAGTGACCAATTTATCATATACTATAAGCAACGTTGACTAAATATCAGTTTTATATGTTTGCAGTATTAAGCGCAACAATACTTTCAAATTGCCAATTCTTAATAATTTTCCAGCTATTTTTTACTGTCTTTAAATATCAATACATGGAGCGGTTGGCGTGCTCTAATGCATGCGATAATTTCCGATAGTCTTTGTTAAATTTAAAAAAAAGATTACAAAATCGTTATACCAAAATTTACAGACATGCTTTGAAAATCAACAGTATCTGCAAACGGCTATTTTTTCACATAAAAAAAATACAAAATAGATAATGCAATTTAAAATTCATTACATGTGTCTTGAATGAAACTATAAAGGTAATGTGCAACATACCTTTGCTAATCCTCTATGATCAATATAGCTGTCAAATGTAAAGTCTAAGAACGACTCGAGTTTTAACCAGCCTGCATAACGTGAATCGTCTTTATAAACTTTATGTGAACCCTAACGTGACTCCGAGAACCACAAACGAAATAACATACAAAAAATTGAGAAAATCCTGTTATAATGTATGACTACTGTCGCCATTGTCTTAATTTTGCAACTCTGCATTAAACATGAAAGGCCAATGAAATGTTTTAAAGTATTGTGTGGCTTAATCTATACAATTTACATTTGTTTGGTTTATTATATTAATTGCGGTATCATTTTATGTATGGATTTTAATTGTAAATTAATAGGCAAAAGAAAACATTGCGGTATCATTTTCTTCCGAATATTTTAAATGCAAATTGATAGGCTGTGAGTTTTGTTTTTATTATAAACCGTTGACCAAGCATTGTTCCTGTCATAAAGACTTTACAAAGCTGTGTATGGGAATTGTCTGAGTATATACCATTTTACAGTTGACTAACACGTTTACAGATTAAGATAATATTTAGAAAATATTCCAATGAATGAAATTTTCAAAAGTCTTACCTCAAGTTAACTGTTTTCCTTGTGGAAATGGTTGACAGGTTTCACTCCTTGGTCATTAGCGCATTTAGCACGCGTTCCTTATGTAAACTTTCATATTGGAAATGTTGCATCTTTAGAGTTCATGTACAGTTATTCAAAGAATACACATTCTTTTTCTTTTTAACATGAGGCGACATTGCTGAAAAACTTCAAATTGTTATTGACAATGTAATCTTGATATGAATGTATTGAAAAAGAAATATATAAAACAATCAGACGGTTTGATTATTTCTGAAGCGAAAGATGTTTTGGTGAGAAAAAAACCCTGTAAACTGCGGAGGATTAAGCTACTGACGACACTTCGTAAGTGAGGTATCAGGAAACGCTCTAGTAAAACTAATGATAAACAATCAATATTGGAACTTTTGTAAGAATTTTATGTTGTCAATACTTAACGGATTACGTAATATTTAAATGTTATAATATTAATTATTATTTAATTATCAAAGAGAATCAACACTTTGTAACTTGCAGCATATGACTTTTATGTGGAACACTTAACGACTCTTCATTTTACAAAACATGGACGCATTGGCGCCCATCAATATTAATTTGCTGGCCTTATAATTCAGCCATTCAGGCCAATCCAACAAATCCACGTATCAAGTTAAGATTAAGATTAAGGTCAAGGTCATTTCAGTTTAAAATAATTGGTAATATAATTATTTTATGCTTAATGTCGTATATAATTGTTTGCTAAATATCTAAAAAGTATTTAAACATAGTTTATTTCAAACAATCTTACAAGCACCATTGATATAATGATATAGGCATGGATGTGTTCAAAGGGGACGATAGTGTACAATCTCCCTGACTAGATGGTGATTCCATCATTATTATAAGAAAATAAACATATTTTTAGCCTCTAGTTTCAAAAAATTTATAGTCGTAATCAGAAAGCTGTGTGACATGATTAAATGATTACATCAAGAAGCAGTGAAATACTAGATATATTTCATCCGCTAATGGTTACATATGACACTCCTGTGCTGATTTGTTTGTTAAAAAATCAAGGCCGGGAGTATTTTTACGTAAACTGTTGTTTACTTTATATTTACAAATTGTTGGGAAAAAAATTATTTTCACAATGCAGAAAAATATAAGTTTCTACAAACATATTCGATGATATTAAATAATGCATTTAGACACAGGTCTTGTTACAATCTTACACACGACGCAATTTATGTTCCAAATCAAGTCCCGCAATTGCCCAAAAATGAACTAATATACCACAAAAACCTGTAACAAAAACTAAAATACATAATTTTACAAATCGTAGTTTCTCAACAACAAATTGCAAAATGCCCAACAATTAATATATGAATGTAACGAAAATCGTAAACAACATGGTAGAGAAAGGTACAAATGGCTTATGGCTCGTGCAATACATGTATATGTGATTTTGTTGTTGTAAACAACTTGATTTAAGGTGTTTGGAAACCTTCCAAATCAGTTACAAATGGTAAAAGTCATTGAAGAGTAATAGCTAAGTGTCGCAAGAAATACATGTTTCCCTATCTTGATCTGACAATGTTCTTTTTAGGATAAGTCACAATTCACAATTTAAGGTGAAGCTCTATGTGAACAGTTTTCCTAAAAATACATTCATAAGAGGTAGTGAATATTAAAAGAAACTAATGTGTTTTATTAGAAAACATTGTTTTCTAACTTAAAGTTCCTATAACTCATTTTTTATGGTTTTATATCATAAATATAATGCTCAAATGAAGATTTATCAATAGTGTAAGTTCCAAAAAGCATTATTTGTTAAGATATTACCGAATTTAAATACCGAAAATAAAGGGAGGTAATTAGAAATTTATTTCAAAAGTTTAAGTCAATTCTTTCATATAGAAATGAATGCATATAATTTAATGATTACATATAATGCGGACAAATATTTGCAGTACATTTACATATTCTTCTAAGTTTAACAATTGTTTTATAAGCATAAGTATATACATATATAAAATTTCACTTAAGTGTGGTAACAACCTTAATTACAACATGTATACAGGATCTTTAAGAGTGAAACAGAATACAAACAAAAAGACACCTTTTAATTTATTCGTATATTTAACGCTTCAAACAGTTACTCGGGCTGTTTTTACTTAAGCGCGAATTAATATATCAAGACCAATATATCATTTTCACCAAGGCCAAGTTTATATGTGTACTGACTGGCTGTTTAAATTTTGATATAGCTTAACAACGAGATGAAGGAAAGCTGTCGCATCAACATGTATTTTAGCATTCTGCATGATATTTCTTTAGGGTTTAAGTACATAAAAGAATACAATACACCATTAAGGAGATTGTAAATAAGGAGATTGTTAATGGATTACATGAATTTCTCGGTATTCACTCGTGTTTATAACATGTGATTACCACAGTCGAGACATTTTACATGTTCGTTACCACAGAAACTGATTATTACTACATTATTATTATTTATATTGTTATAACTCACCTTGTATTGAGCGTAAGAACATATCCTATTGATGTACATATACATACAGTTAAGAAGATATTTCTTGTTTATTTTGGATCATATAAAATACATGAAAATATCATACTGCGCAATTATATAATAATGTAAAATTATTGGTCAACTTTAGACAGAACACTTAAAATATAGAAACTGTAGTGATAAAATCATGATACTTGCATGCGGTTTTGGCAACACAGATACTTGCTTATCATGTGTATAAACAATGATATATAGCTTCACATATTTATATCTTTAATTTTCTCTTTACTTATTTTTTTTCTGGTGCAAACGTTTTAACGCTTCCCTATGTTTTTCTCTCGATTTTCTTTTTTTATTTTAATTTTGTCTTATTTTCTTATAATAATGCCAATTTGTATATGCTTTGTTGTATTGTAACTTAATAAAAATAAATATGATAAAACCAAGCAATGATAAACTCTTTATTTAAAAAAGGAAAACAACACAGTGTTGTTATATTTTCTGGTCCTTCGGGATCATTGATGCCAACACTATAAAGTGTTGAGAATTGAGTACCGCTCAAGCCGGTGCTAGGGGGCGTGATGGATGTTGCACTTATTCATTATCCCTCATGTACAGACTCAATCAAACCGAGTCTGCAATTCTTATGTTATTTTGTTGTGATTAATGCTTCCGAAGGATCACTTTGTTTCCAGAATTTTGTACTGGTCAATAATACAATCATTCTCCAAGCAGATAAAACAATAATCATGATTATTGTTCGAACTATTTTCATGCCCGATAACGCAGATATCATTACACAGATGTAAACAAATGGAAAAAAACTTTGAATTAAGTTGTTTCGACGTCAATGTGAATATGTTTTCAGAAACATTTCTATTTGACTAAGAACTGTACGCCACGTGACATTTCTGAAAATCAACTTTAGTGTGCGTGGAAAAAAATCAACTCCAGCGTAATTGAAATAGAACTATCTGTTTTGAAATGATTGTTGTCATTTAGCCCATTATAGAGGTGTTATTTAAGGACTGGACGACAACTCTGCTTGGATATACAACAGTGTCAAAGTAAAGGAGTCGCAATTGCTTTTACATCTATGCCTTTTTCTTGGAGAACTTCTGTGGACCATTCTTTCCGGATTTGCGAACCTGCCGTTGCAGTATATGATATGGGATTTCTTTCCAGATATGTTGTACTAACATGTATCAGGGACTTTGATTACAGTTATAGCTCTGTGCATGTATATCAATTTCTGTTGCCTACTTTATGAACAATTTGAACCGTCACAGGGACATTCTGTCTTATACTTATTGCTCTTGTCGTCCAAGACATTCTTGTTGTGTCTGTATCGCGTATATATACTGTAGTAAATTTTGGTAATTTCATTTGCATAAATAAATCTATGAATCAATGCAATATAGGTTGATACGTGGACAAGTCTTCCTTACCCCCGTTCACACATAGACGCCGCTTCTACTACAATAAAAGCGTGACCAAAAGCGTGGCCGATCGTGGCAAATCGCAGGAGAAACGTAGCGGAGTCCACATAAGCACAGTATGATCGCGGTAGCGTCTTGATGATCGGGAAGCTCTACACTCTCCACGTTTATTTTCAACGTGCTCAAAACAAGCGTAGCGGGATCGTGGCCAACAAGAATCGGGGTAAAGTCGTAAAAAGAGCGTGGTAGAAGCGCCGTAATCGTACAAGCAGCGCGGAAGCATCGTGGATAGTTCTTTATGATCGTAGTAAAAGCGCAGTAAAAGCGAAGTACAGTCGGGAACATACCGAGTACGCTTCTACAACGTTCCCACTATGTCCTTTCTACGTTCCCACTACGATCTCTCTATGTTCATGACGATCCTACGAAGACCTACCATGACCTTACGACGATCATACCACTAACTGTCAGGTAGCAGTTTGTTTTATAGCGCTGCTATTTGACCAATCATAATATGCCAACTACATATAAAGGGCAGCACTTTACTTGACGATCATTTGCAGCTGAGACTTCGAACATAGCACATCTTGCAACAGTTTGAAAAAAAAACTAAAATGCCCCGTAAACCACGTGGTAAAGGCCGTAAAAAAAACTCTGGTTGCAAACTCTGAGACTCAATAACTAAAAAATCCTGCAGCAGAAAATCCCGAGGCCGGAAAAGAACATGACGGGCTTTCGTCTGTGGAAGCTGAAGCCCTTCCATCGACGGAAATTCCTCAGCCTGATGACCCCGCTATTGAGCCTCAATCCGATGTAGAAGAAGTTCCAAATGTTCCCCAGCAGAAACGCAGAAAAATGCTGACAGACCTTACCGAGGACCAGGAACAGACTATGGTTGAATGGCTTAGCGCACATCCACTCCTTTACATCAAAAAGCTAAAGGGGTATAAAGAAACCCAGAAGAAGGAATATCTCTGGAGGGAACAGGCCAATCTGCTTGGTAAAGATGTTGACGTCATCAAAACCTGGTACAGTAGCATTCGGACAAGGTATTGGCGGCTAAAGAAAACGCGATCCGGTGCTCCAGATGAGGAACTGACAGAAAGGGACAGTTGGATCCTGCGTGAGTTTGGTTTCCTGCAGCCCCATTTCATTGAAGTCAAAAAGCGCACCGCTGTTAGTGTAAGTAGATAACCAAACATTCATTATAGGGTTGAAATTATGTCATATGTTTGAGTGTTGATGCCTTTGGAAAAAACTAATTTCCAAGCGAAAACTGTTACATACTAAGATGGCGTAATGGTTTTAATTGTAGCCAGTACAATAGCACAATGTTGTTTTCTATGTTCATATTCATTGCACATAAAAATGTTGATAATACACTAATTTCCGTTACAGATGACGGCGAAGTTGGCCCCAACAACCCCTGAAGAGAGTATGACATCAGACTCTGCTGATGCCCCAGCTGATACCGCAGGTACAGGCGCCCTCTCATTGGCAAGTAGTAGGGAACAGCTCATTAACTTGCAGCGAGAGTTGCTTGGTCGCATCAAGAATACACCAGAACCGAATGAGCGTGATGCCTTCCTGGGCTGGGTTAAGCAAGCCGTGGCAGGCCTTAATAAGACTCTTTGGCGCCGCTTCCAGACTGACGTACAACAATTGGTCAGCCGCTACACTGACATGCAGGAGCAGCAACAACAACAGGTACAGTCTAGACCTGGCATTTCCTCAAACAAGGATAGTGATCCCTGTTCCGTGCAATGGCAGCCTATTCCCTCACAATGGCCATCCCAAGTCGTGTGTGTGGGGATCTCAGGAACGTGCTTGGGTGCAGCAGCAGCAGTTTCAGCAGTCAGACAAGCAAGCGTGTAACCCTCCCACAAGTAGACAGTCACAAGAGGGATCAAGTATGGTTTTTGCAGGCCTTAGCTCACTGTTAGATATGGATGACGGAAACATGGACTCCAGCAGCAGTAAACGCTAAATAATACGATACATTGACACATGCAGTCCTAGCGATATCGATTTCTTTGCAGCAGTCAAACTTCATATTGTCATTTTGAAGTATTGTCAGACATGCACTTAATTGACAATAGTAGTTCATTTTGTTTCTTAAATCAGTACAGTAAGATTTTTGATGCATGCTGTTTGTATGTACAATTTTGCAAAACTTTAGTTCAAAATTTGCATTTATAAAGTTCATACTTGTATAAACTCGATTGTATTACTGTTTGGTTTTCAATCAAATTTAGTTGTTATGTCTGTCTGTCTGTCTGCTTGCGTGTATGCGTGCGAATGTATGTATGTGTGCATGTTTTAAGTTAGTTCTTGTAATAAAAAATCTTTATGTTTATAAAAAAACGCCTTATGGTTAGTACCATCAGCTTTTTTGGTCAAAGAAGTTATGATGCCTAAAACCGGTAAAAATCTATAGTTGCAATGCGACTATGTACAATGCAGGAGTCCGTTACAAGAACTGTGTCATATGTTAATATTTTATAGAAGAAGTATATGAATAATAATACTAAAACTAATATAACCAATTGCTTTTGTCAGTATACTAGTATCATTTATTACTCCTTAAACTCAGGCACGTTGATTTGCCTATAATCATTGTGCGGCTACATGGCTGTTTTCCATACTTTACCTGAATTTACTTGGGTACTGTTTTACTAAATGACTCACGCATGGAGTGTAACTCATAATATGGTAAAAAATAACATAATTCTAAAACATAATTTTAATGCTCTATTGTTTAGACTCTGTCACTATACAACAGTATATACTTTTGTCAAAAGCTGTCAAGATTACTTCTTATGTAGATAACATTGCATAAAACACCTTAATTCCTTCTGCAAAAAAAACATACATACTAGACCTGACTATAATTCAAAAATAACTGCAGAGACATATGGAAGGGTATTAACGCAAAAATTACATCTTGCTTTCTTACGTTACTTCGTGCTTTCTAACTTGTACATCTTGCATTCTGACTTGTACATCTTGCATTCTGACTTGTACATCTTGCATTCTGACTTGTACATCTTGCATTCTAACTTTTACATGTTGCTTTCTTACATGCACATTATGCTTTCTGCTGTGTACGTCTTGCTTAATTGTATGTTGATTTGATATAGTTATTTAACGATCCATTATTATTCATTTGTTGATCTGGTGTATTAATTCAATAACTTAACCTGCAACTGTTTGTATTTGGAACTATTTACTCAGCTTGAATGACGAAAGTCATAAGGTAGAATGACGCATATCCGAAAACCGAATGCAGCAAGCATAATACGGCGCGACATCTGGTGTAATAATATGTGACACCCAAATTATGCTAACAGGTTGCGCTACAGTTATATTCTCGGTAAAGTCCGTATTGCGGTTCGGATTCAGTTTACCAAATTACGTCCCTTTGCTTTAAAATTTCTATTTCCACTATGAAGGAAATAAGGTAAACATATATACAAAACGATTTAACCAATTTTTGTATTTATTACTGAAACTCTGTGGGTCAAATTATATTTCCAGCTGACAATGACAAGTTGTACATTTCCAAATCAATGATTTTAGAATTATTATTTTTTTATCAACTACATAATTATAAAATAGAACAGTTGTTCAAAGTGCTTGGGCCATAAAAAATCTTCTCAGTAAAATATTTCATCCTCTTGAAAAGTTCTTAATTTTTGGCATGGCTTATTTCCAATACCTGTGACCATCCACAACATTTGTAATGTGTTTTTATTAATTAAGACATTTTCTTGCCTATTTTCAAACTAAATTTGTACACACATTGTTAGATTAATTAAACTTGTCAAAAGATATCATTTTATCACTAAGTTGAAATTTTTACTAAGATGATTTATGAATACGGCCCCAGGTTCTTGTTCACAGTGTCAGCTTAAAACTGAATTGAAGGAACTGCTGCCAAAATCAGCTGATTCTGAGAAAAAAAATGTCAAAACTGTCAATCTGTGAGAGTGCAGCTTTAAGACGAATGATTTCATAATATTAATTGATGAGTACATAAAAACAAAATGTACAAAAATGGTCCCAAGAAATGGTTATAAAATGAATATTGCATGTTGGGTTGAAGATTACGGTGGCACAAAGGTGACATGTGTGTTTTTTTATTCATCTCGTGCGCACGAGATACTATGTCGTGGCCACGAGTTACTAAGTCGTGGCCACGAGATAGCTAAGTCGTGGCCACGAGATACTATGTCGTGGCCACGAGTTACTAAGTCGTGGCCACGAGTTACTAAGTCGTGGCCACGAGATAGCTAAGTCGTGGTCACGAGATAGCTAAGTCGTGGCCACGAGTTACTTAGTCGTGGTCACGAGTTACTAAGTCGTGGCTACGAGTTACTAAGTCGTGGCCACGAGTTACTAAGTCGTGGCCACGAGATAGCTTAGTCATGGCCGCGAGTTACTAAGTCGTGGCCACATGATAAATAACCAATCAGATTATACCATTTATATGAATTTCCCTAATTAACTAGACTTGTGCTATAGTACAAGGATATGCCCCTACTTCACCAGCCTCCAAAAGTGCCATTTATACAACTTATTGACTGGTCAATAATTATACATTAAGCGTCACGGTGACTCTGATTTTTTACCCAATGACCTCGAAATTATTAGATGCCATCTAGTTATATAAACCATGGCTTATCCCTACTAAATTATTCATCAGACAAGGATTTTACCTTATAGACTATATAATGTCCATGGGCAATGTCCCTTCCAAATAAAATAAACCAGGACTTATTCTTATTCATGTTATCGTATAAACAAGGTTAACAGGCAGTGGTACGTACAAACTGACCAATTCGATCACAAAATTGTCTCAACAAAGAGCTATAGTCAAAATGAATGTCTGATGGGCCTTGGAAGGTGACTTTCTAATATGATCCTAAAGACAAGTTCAAAGTGAATATCTTCAGTATTTTCAAAGATCAATGTTGCATGTAAAAGTAAGTTGTTAAGTTAAAAAAATTCATAATATATATATAGTGTATTCTGATTGGTTAATTATCTCGTGACCACGATTTAGCTATCTCGTGACCACGACTAATAAGTAACTCGTGGCCACGACATAGTATCTCGTGGCCACAACTTAGCTATCTCGTGGCCACGACTTAGTAACTCGTGGCCACTACATAGTATCTCGATCGTGGCCACGAGATAAATAAAAACACACACATGTCACCTTTGTGCCACCGTATGAATGTACTATTATTCATATAACGAAAATTTATGCAAAACAACAACAATAACAAACAAACAAGAGCATCAAAATCATAACATTTCAAATTCTATGTAATTCTAGTTTCATTTATAACATTTTATGCTCACATAAAGTAATTACCGTGTAATGTCATTGACTCATTCCCCGTAATTGATACATTTATATCTTTGATTAAATTATATACTGTAAATATAATATAATAGTAACGACAAAAAAATACTTAATTAAAAAACAAATAATTTGAAACGAAATACATTATATACGAAAAAAATAGCTTATATCAACACATTTTTCATCTAGAAAGATCGATAATTTTTAGAAGACCGGCACTGACCGGGCCAGTAAATATGATACTATTCGCCGGTCTCTCGTAAATTCCGGTCAAAATAGACCGGGAGAGACCGGAGACCGGAAGCGACCGGACCGGAGAATAGTACATCTGGAAAGTCATGTGATCCACCACCCTCAAAAATGTAAACAAATATATATTGAAGCGAAGAATGGTAAATTGTAAGTCAACAATATCTCAAAGTTTATTGATTTGCTTTAAATTATCATTTGCAGATTTTCTTGAGTGTTCTTAGAACTTCTAACTTGTTAGATTTTCGCCTATTTTTTAACACCAAATTATTTAGAATTTACTGCATTTTTTGCTGTCATAAAATGTACGAAGCACAACGGTACTGGTTGGGGACCACCAAAACCGGACAACCACCAAACCCGGACGGCCCCGAAAATGCTTAATTTAGTATTTTCTTTGTTCAGTGGTTGTCAGTCACTTTTCATTAACAATAAATGCACATTTCTTCTAAAATTAAGTAAATAAATTTATTTCAACCTCCGTAAATGGTAATATTTTAATGTCTATTTCTACAATGTTGACGTTGAAAGTTGGGGGGTCAAGAAAGCATTACCTGACCTCATATACCAGCTATAATCATTTGCAGAGTAAACAATAGAATATCCAAAACTTCAGCATTTGTTGCTGAAATATTGTACATCATGTTAAAAATCTAAAATCAAAACACCCAAGCTTTTATCTGAATTAAATCGCGTGATGTACATATTTGTCCGGACACATGGTACTGTAGTGTAGACAATTTAGGTAATTTTGATACCCTCCTTGTCAAGCCTCAGATATAAGTGTCAATACAATCAGAAATAAACAAACTAGTTTGTTAGTTAGGAGAAGAACCTAGCTGAACTGTGTCAAATTTTAAGGTCTCTAGGTTAAAAATTATTAAATCAGTACGGAAAAATGTTCAAAAAGTGTCCGGTTGATGGTCCCCGACCAGTACAGAGACTTAATTTCTTAAAATAAATTTACAGAAATATAGCTGAGATCATGATCTTGAATATTTTAAATAATAAAATGTTGGCATAGTTAAAGTTTCATCTCGGCAAGGGTCAAATCGGCGTATGTCCCTGTTAAAAGTAAAAAAAAGTATAAAGTTTTTTTATCGACAGCTAGGGAACAGTGGTGGATCAAGAAGGGGGGTGGGGGGGGGGGAAAGGGTCTGACTCACAAGTGCTTTTGGTGGATATAGTTCCTGCTTTCTGTATTTAAAAATGAATTAAATTTTGTGACAATTTTTTTTAATATGAAATTAGGCAACGCCTATAAACGGGGAAGTCGTTAAAATAAAAATCCGTTCATTCTTTCCGTTTTAAAGGTGTCATTCAGTATTACATGCACCGCTTCCGTTTTCACTCGGAACACTCGAAGATTATTATTGATCCGAAAAGTTGAGATT